CTGGGTTTAACAGGATATTTCATTTACTGGGAACTGGGTTTAACAGGATATTCCAGCATCAATCTCAGATTAACACCTGGATGCTGTGGCTTGGATTCTCCAGAGACCAGAGGCTTCCATCCCTGTGGATTTCCTGCCAAAGCTGACAAGAAAAGCCTTTTCCTAGAGGAGAAAATCCCCAAACTTACTCTGTGTAACATAAGCTCCAAAGAGAATCCACATGGAAGCAATGAGAGATCCAAACATCAACATGAAGCCAATGAAGAGCCAGATCCGAGCCCCTGCAGGGGAGAGGGAAATGTGGATTTTTATCCAGAAATGTGGATTTTTATCCAGAAATGTGGACTTTTATCCATAGGGCCAGGCAATCCAGCTGCCCCTCTGGAGGATGGAATACATGATGTCACTAAAAGCACAAATGGGAAGGGTTAAACCCAAGGATCAAGGACAAAATCCATCTGTTCAGTCATTGGGAAGGGGAAATATTCCTGTGTAAAAGTTCTCTAGAACTGGATCATGAAACCAAACACACAAAAATCCACCACAGGCCACTTCCCATAGCAGTAAATCCCTCCAAATTTACAAATCCCATGGAAAAGCTGCTGGGATCCATGTGGGAAATGGAATTATGAGTGGAAGCAGAGAGGACAGCAGGTCCTGGGACACCCCAGGGCAGTGACACAGAGGAAATGAAATGTTTGTGACACATCCCCAGGGAATCCTGCCCCAGGGCCACCCCAGGCAGGAACTGATTTCTCCCAGCAGCCATCCAGGATTTGCAGGGAAAGTTTGGGAAGCCAAGACATCCAGAAGCTGAACTGCACCAAATTCCCTTTTGAACAAAGCCAGCACTTATCTCCAAGGGTTCATTCTGTAAAGAAACTAATTCACACAAGTTCTCTCCCACTCCTTCTCTTCTGATTATTTCCTTCACCACCACTTGGAAAAAAAACCCAGCAGGTAAAAGATCAGTCCTTTACCTGAGCAGGATTTGTAGGGATAATTTACCTGTTCTTCCTAAGCATCCATCACTGTAGCTGTCTCCTCTCACCTGTGCATTTGATACAGCATTTATCCTGGGGGCAAAAAAAAGGAGATACACTTCAGATTATAGAGAAAATGAATGGAGAGTTCTAAATAAAGAAAATGAATGGAGAGTTCTAAGTAAAGAAAATCAATGGGGAGATCTAAGTAAAACTCCAGATTTTTTTTTTTTTTTAAGATGTGACAAATTCTGGGAAAATTCCCTGGCATTCTGTGTAGTCACAAATCCCAAATCATCCTTTTTTCTTGCCAATATTGAACGATTCAATGAAAGCTGTTGCTTTTATTTACATCTCCATGACAAAAGCTGTCTGTTACCCCTGTTACCCCTACTGTTAACCTTCCTGTTTGAGGAAGTTTTGGGCAAGGAACAGCTGTAAAAGCTGTAAAAACAAAAGGAAATGCAGTTAATTGTTTCATCTTGAGGTAAGTATTGTATTCTCCATCCCTGGCAGTGTCCCAGGCCAGCCTGGGGCAGTGCAGGTGTCCCTGCCATGGCTTTGAGGTCCCTCCCAGCCCAACCCAACCCAACCCAACCCAGTGCAGGATTCTGTGGTTTCTCCAGGCTGGACACAGCCAGCAGAGGCTGCTGGAGTTTCCCAGCACTCACATGAAGAAGGCCAGAGTGGAGAAGACCCCGCAGGTGTGGAAGGCGTGGTTCAGCTGCTCCGGCCTGGGATAAACCACGGCAGCATCGATCATGATCCACCAGCCTGTGAAAAACTGGGCACAGAACACGGTGAGCCTGGCACAGGACAGCCAGGGACAGCAGCCCAGTGCCCTGCACAGCACTGCTTTAACTGGGCACCACTGCTAACACACCCATCCTTCTGGCCAGGGATTTAAATAAAGTGATTTAAATGTGAGCCGTGGGCACAAATCTCAGCGTTGCTGTTGTCAGAGGAGTGTTTGGGAATCAGTCACACTTTGTGGTCACGTTAAGGAGTGGGGTATGGATAAATTTGGTTTATTTATTTATTTTAGCTGCCCAGAGCAGCTGTGGCTGCCCCTGGATCCCTGGCAGTGCCCAAGGCCAGGTTGGACATTGGGACAGTGGGAGGTGTCCCTGCCATGGCAGGGGTGGCTCTGGGGGGGATTTAAGGTCCCTCCCGACCCAAACCAGTCTGGGATTCTGTGAAATTCCCTGTTCCTCGTCCCCCTTAAGAAGAAGAATCCAGACTGAACACAAATGAGATGGAGATGATGCAGAACAGAGCAGTTCTAACAGATCCAATCCGTGAGGAATTTGTTATCAAGAAGAGAGGGCAGAAATGGTTCATGATCAGCAACATCACAGGACTTGTGAAAATGCTGCTGACAACCCCTGGAGGGAACAGTCGGGTTTTGGGGAAGTTAAGAGAGAGAACTGGAAGAACTTGAGGCACAAGTGTGACTGACAGTGGATCCCCTGATGCCTTAAGTTTTAGCTTTTATATTTTCCAGGCTCTGTATTGCATTGGTGTGTGACTCTGAGCTCCACACAAAGTGTTCCAGGCTCTCCTCCCAGCTCAGGCACACAGAACAATCCTTTTCCAGCCCCACAACCAAGGACAGCTGCAGCTCCAGCCCCAAAAAGTGCAAAGAGCAGAGAATGGAGGAGAGAATGTGGGAGGATGGGACTGCAGAGCCTGGAGCTGGGATTGGACAGGGAACCCCAAGGTGGAAATGGACCCAAACTGATCAAAGTGTGAGAGTCCACTTTTATAAATCCAAAACTTTCAAAAGTGTGAGAGTCCACTTTTATAAATCCCAAAACTGATCAAAGTGTGAGAACTCGGGACTCGGATCCATGTTGGGTGGAGCCATGGACGGGCTCTGGTGCTGCCCAAGATGAATCCTCTGAAGGTCTTTTAACAAATCTCTGATTTATTATTTTAACCCTGCCCACCCTCAGTTCCAGGCCCCTCCCCAGCCCTCTGTGCCCCTGCTCACCAGCACCCCGGCCACGATGGAGGCGATGGCGTTGCGGCGCTCGCTCCAGTCGATGCATTCACACTCGGGCCAGCGAAAATTGTCCAGGAACCCTGCCATGGCCACAGCTCACAGTGCCCT